GAATACTTGCAGTTTTGAACTGTAGTATCAGCACCCCTCTGGCAACAGTGATGGAATGATTATAATTATAACCAAGCACTAAATCCTTAAGGGTCGAGTGATGGAATAAATGATGGTGAAAATTTTTTTTTTCCTGGGTCATCCTATCTTGGTGGGAGAGGGTAGTTTTCTTTTTTAAATTTTTTTTTTTAAAACTCATTCCATCTTGACTCTTTTGAGAACTTCATATTTTTGGTACATGTTTTTTAACAACATATGCAAAAGAACATCAAAGTTAATCAGCTGTATCAGTAACCTCTCTCCTTCCCATCCTTCTCCTCTCTCTGAAACCATATTTGCTTTGAGCATCACAGTTCCTGACCACATTATACTCTGGATTTATGCCACCTGAAGTTGTAAATGTCATGCATAATATGTTCAAAAAGTATGGTTATTGGTCAGTTATTAAATCCCTGCGAGGCAGAATTAGTCATGAAAAATTTTTTACACTTTCAATTACATCTACAACAATTAGTACATAGTCTTCACTTGTAATACTTCTCATTTCAACATAAAATTTATCAATAACCATCTGCAATTATGTACAATACAATATATTACTAGCCATAAGTATAATTATTTTTTTAAATAAATACAGTGGACCCCTACTTTACGATCAGCTCCCAATGCGACCAATTATGCAAGTGCATTTATGTAAGTGCGTTTGTACGTGTATGTTTGCGTGTCTGAAATGGACAAATCTAATTCACAATATTCCTTATGCGAACAAATTCGTTCAGTAATGGCACCTGAACATACTTCTGGAATGAAATAATATCGTAAACCGGGGGTCCACTGTATACTCCAAGTTGCACCTTCTCCCCCCTTTCACCATCTTATGAAACAAAGCCAGTCACTGATCAGGGTAGAACAGGAAGGCCCTGTGCCTCCACATCACCAGCTACGGTGCTTATGAAACATTGTACATACCTTTGAAACCCTTATAGATATTGGTAACATTTTTTCTTTGATACTGAAACTTTTTATTTCCAACTTCTAGCCTCATAAACCTCTTGTGCACCAGTGTTTATGATGAAGAAAACTTAGAAAAAAAAAATATACAATACCACAAGCTAGGGATTGGCAGAGAGCATGCATAGTTCCTTTGTATAAAGGCAAAGGGGATAAAAGAGAGTGCAAAAATTATAGGGGGAGAAGTCTGTTGAGTATACCTGGTAAAGTGTATGGTAGAGTTATTATTGAAAGAATTAAGAGTAAGACGGAGAATAGGATAGCAGATGAACAAGGAGACTTCAGGAAAGGTAGAGGGTGTGTGGACCAGGTGTTTACAGTGAAACATATAAGTGAACAGTATTTAGATAAGGCTAAAGAGGTCTTTGTGGCATTTATGGATTTGGAAAAGGCATATGACAGGGTGGATAGGGGGGCAATGTGGCAGATGTTGCAAGTGTATGGTGTAGGAGGTAGGTTACTGAAAGCAGTGAAGAGTTTTTACGAGGATAGTGAGGCTCAAGTTAGAGTATGTAGGAAAGAGGGAAATTTTTTTCCCAGTAAAAGTAGGCCTTAGACAAGGATGTGTGATGTCACCGTGGTTGTTTAATATATTTATAGATGGGGTTGTAAGAGAAGTAAATGCGAGGGTCTTGGCAAGAGGCGTGGAGTTAAAAGATAAAGAATCACACACAAAGTGGGAGTTGTCACAGCTGCTCTTTGCTGATGACACTGTGCTCTTGGGAGATTCTGAAGAGAAGTTGCAGAGATTGGTGGATGAATTTGGTAGGGTGTGCAAAAGAAGAAAATTAAAGGTGAATACAGGAAAGAGTAAGGTTATGAGGATAACAAAAAGATTAGGTGATGAAAGATTGGATATCAGATTGGAGGGAGAGAGTATGGAGGAGGTGAACGTATCCAGATATTTGGGAGTGGACGTGTCAGCGGATGGGTCTATGAAAGATGAGGTGAATCATAGAATTGATGAGGGAAAAAGTGAGTGGTGCACTTAGGAGTGTGGAGACAAAGAACTTTGTCCTTGGAGGCAAAGAGGGGAATGTATGAGAGTATAGTTTTACCAACGCTCTTATATGGGTGTGAAGCGTGGGTGATGAATGTTGCAGCGAGGAGAAGGCTGGAGGCAGTGGAAATGTCATGTCTGAGGGCAATGTGTGGTGTGAATATAATGCAGAGAATTCGTAGTTTGGAAGTTAGGAGGAGGTGCGGGATTAACAAAACTGTTGTCCAGAGGGCTGAGGAAGGGTTGTTGAGGTGGTTCGGACATGTAGAGAGAATGGAGCAAAACAGAATGACTTGAAGAGTGTATCAGTCTGTAGTGGAAGGAAGGCGGGGTAGGGGTCGGCCTAGGAAAGGTTGGAGGGAGGGGGTAAAGGAGGTTTTGTGTGCGAGGGGCTTGGACTTCCAGCAGGCATGCATGAGCGTGTTTGATAGGAGGGAATGGAGACAAATGGTTTTTAATACTTGACGTGCTGTTGGAGTGTGAGCAAAGTAACATTTATGAAGGGATTCAGGGAAACCGGCAGGCCGGACTTGAGTCCTGGAGATGGGAAGTACAGTGCCTGCACTCTGAAGGAGGGGTGTTAATGTTGCAGTTTAAAAACTGTAGTGTAAAGCACCCTTCTGGCAAGACAGTGATGGAGTGAATGATGGTGAAAGTTTTTCTTTTTCGGGCCACCCTGCCTTGGTGGGAATCGGCCAGTGTGATAATAAAAAAAAAATAAAATAATAAAACCAAAAGCATTCACTCTGGGCACTGACTGATTGGAAGATATATGCCAGACACTCATACTATCATTCAGTCATCCATTGCATCCTGTTAGATCAACAATGAAGGGTAAATCTGAATACTGAGCACTGATTTGTACACTAAATGCCTCAATGTGTTGAAGCAGAGATGTTTAAGTTATATAGTTTACTAGGTACTCAGAAATTAGATTACAGGATGCAGTCATTAGCTTCTTGCACTTACCACGTCTTGTTCCTTCCTTCACTTGGAAACTAAGCTATCATTGGATTCCTGAAGACTATTTTTGGATTATTAAACCCAAAGAAAGTCAAGCATTGTGGCTTCTTTCTGTCAAACTCTTAGTCCTCTTCCTGACCAACACCCAAATACTGTAGATATTTAATGCTAAGTGAACAGGGGTAGCCGACTCAACAAGACTTATCTATACACAACTAGAAGGATATATGGGCGAGTCTCTACACCTGCTGCTCCTTTCACCTAGCAGCAAATAAACACTATGCTGAGGAGTTAGTCAGCATTGCATTCCTGTCTCACTAAGAGGTATACAGATATACATTTCATTTCTCATCTCTCATACAGCCTGACTGACCCTCAGCATTAAGAATGATAGACGCTAGTAAAAAGTGTAACACATTACAGTACTATCATTTTTTCTCATAATGATACAAAGGGATGGTACAAAGAATACATAAACAATGCCTCAGCCAGTCTTTCCTCACAGACACTCTCTATAGTCACTGAAAAATATTATAAAGAACCACAAAAAACTGCCATACCTGTGACCAGTTTCAAGGGTTCTTCTACCTGTACAGCCTGGTCTAAGGCCAGACTCCTTCCTTTCTGACTGCCTGTTTAACCACCTGTTGCTGCTAGCAGTGCATAGGTCAACATAGCTATCATAACCTGGGTGATCAACCACTTGCAGCAGGTAGTAATTTCCTCCTGAGAGCATCTACCTTTGTTTCAGCAATATTTCTGATATTTGCTGGAATAAGTCTTGGACCATGGATATTGACAATGTTCTCTACTTGTGCATAGATTTATTCTGCACTTCCTCCAAAATCTCTCACTGGCACATTGTTATGGCAGTGTATAAATAGAGAACAAAAGTAATGCACAAGCAGGTACATTATTTTTCTGTTTAAATGGAGAACAAAAGTAATGCACAAGCAGGTACATTATTTTTCTGTTTAAATGGAGAACAAAAGTAATGCACAAGCAGGTACATTATTTTTCTATATAAATGGAGAACAAAAGTAATGCACAAGCAGGTACATTATTTTTCTGTTTAAATGGAGAACAAAAGTAATGCACAAGCAGGTACATTATTTTTCTATATAAATGGAGAACAAAAGTAATGCACAAGCAGGTACATTATTTTTCTGTTTAAATGGAGAACAAAAGTAATGCACAAGCAGGTACATTATTTTTCTTCAGATTCAATGGCCATCTGCCAATCCAGTGTGACCCAGAGTAAACACAGGTGACTTGGACCTGCCTAGCATAGGCCAGCAGGCCTGCTGCAGTGCTCCTTCTTTCTTACGTTTCTTCTCCAGAAGTGTGCTGACATCACAATCTAATTACTCCTACATCCTTCCTTTAGACTGTAGGCACTTCCCTTTCCAAGCTCTAAATCCACATGGGTCACAGAGCACAATGATAGACCAGATTATAGGTGTAAGGTGAGTGGAGGTGAGGGTTAGTCAGGGTGCAATAGGTTAATTTCTTTTGAAAATTCATAGTGCATTAAAAGGTGAGACTTTCATCAAGGAAGACAGTTAGAATTATAGTTTCAGGGCATTTACTTGTTAAATAAGTCATACAGTGCCTGGGAATGGGAGAATAAGGCATCAAGGCACCACCATGAAGGTCTTATGGCAAGTAATATATACTACTATACATTATAGTTACCTGCTGGTTACATATGTAATCATTAAATATAGACTTATTTGACAATTATAGAATAGGATCTTATATTAAAACTATCTACCATAATAATTTGGAAAAATACCACCAATTCTCTTGGTTTAAGATTCGTCTTCAACTTTGTACCCTTTATTCCGAATTTTTTGAGCTCAAGGGGTCATGCAAATTTTGAATGGCGTGTTTTACATCCTGCCAATAGCATGAGAGCTAGAAAAGCTAGTGTTTCAGCAGCAGCAGTAGACAAGAGCCAGAAAGCCAACACCAGCATCAGTCAGCACAGGTTCAGCCACACGTGGGGTTAGTTGCCCACACGTACGTTTTGAGCGGGGGCTGCTTGTCCTGCTGGACGTTCCCTTCCTAGTTACAGCAGGCGTGGGAGAGCGTGAAGTTACCAGTGGACGCCTCTTCTGAACAACGCTGCTGCCTCCTGTGGAGAGAGCTGGAGATGCCTTGCGAGAGCTTGGCCCAGTCTGAGATGAACAAACTCTTCCGCTTGATGTTTTATTAGTAGAAATTAATTTTCCCTTTTGGTTGCAAGGATTAGCTTTAGATGTATTACGCTTACCTTGCGATATGTGACAGGATAAAATAGGCTTTATTTGGTCTTCAAAGTAAGCCTCCAAACGCAGTGTCATTGAGTATATCTGAAATAAGTTGGTAATTGGGTAATGAGCAAGATCAAGACAATATTAAATGTGCAAGAATGGTATATAATACCGACAAGATGAAATTAAGACACATGTGCAACATCTGGGTATCTTTATTGTAGACGTTTCGCCATCCAGTGGCTTTATCAATACAAATTCTAGGACATAGCTTGATGACAGTAGGACTATATACAGAAGATGAGGTAATCAGTCCCTCAACCTAGGGAGTAGGGCGAAGAGCACCTATCGGGGAATTCGAAAAAAGAAAGGACTGGCGCTTATAAGTAACGTCGGTGTGTAACGGGGGCATAGTCACGGGTAGGCGGGTTTCCCCCCAGGGAAGTAGGTCCTTCCCAAAGGATGGTTAGTTGTAGTAGAAAACTACTACTACAACTAAGAGATGGTTTTGTTGTAGTAGTAACAACACTACTCAATAACCCATCTTTTTGGGGAAGGGACCTATTTCCCACTGGGAATCCCCCCTCCCATGACATCCCTCGTCTACTACACCTGACGTTACTAAAATAAGCGCCGACCCCTTTGCTTCTGCTTCAGAATCTCCATGACTAGGTGCTTTTCGCCCCTACCCTAGGTTGGGGGACGTTTACCTCATCTTTTATACAGTCCTCTGTCTTCAAGCTTGTCCAGAATTGTATTGAAAAAAGCCACGGGGGCGAACGTCTACAATAAAGATACCCAATGTTGCACATGTGCTTAATTTCACAATATTAAATAAACTCAGAGTAATAATGATAATCAAAATTTTAAGATTCCAAAATATATTTCATAAGCTATATAAACACAGTAAATTTCCAATTAATATAAAAATAAATTTACCACGAAGAATTTGAAGAAATCTCATTATTGAAACTTCCCCGGGGTCTTTTTTTGTGTTAAATTTTTAGATTTAGTAAATATAAGTCCTATCCTTCGCAAAGTCAGGGAGCACCCAAAACCCATTGGCTACAATTCCTCTGCATTTTGTCGGGTCCATGGGAACGTCATAACCTGGCTTTTTTGGATACCCATCCAAGTAACGGGTATCTGGATGAAAAACAAAACCATCAATGAGCTGCAGTAAATAAAGAGAATGATAAAAATGGGGAGGTGGAAAAAATTCTTCCCCCATAACCATATCACAAAGAGGCGACAAATGCCCAGAGCAAGTGGCTAGTAAACCCTTTTATTTTATAAAATTTCTAAATTTAAAAGAAAAACTTTAGTTTTTCTTTTTCCACCTGCTTCTGAGGGGTATGGGTGGTGATAAAAAAATATAAAAAAATAATTTTTTTGTGAAGGGTTCAGGGGAAAACCTGTTAGCTGGGCTAGGTATTGGAGGGGGGAAAGTGCAAGCCTGTCTTTAAAAGGGGGGGGTTTTTGGGGGAAAGTATTTTCTGTGTGAGTGAACAAACCATCAATTGGGGGACCTCGCAAAGACGTATTATGTGTAATAATGGTGAAAGTTTTTTTTTTTTGGGTCACTGCCTCAGTGGGAATGGCCAAATTTAAAAAAAAAAAGAAGTAGTATTATACATACAGGAAACTCAGTACTCGAACAGTTCCCAACTTGAGCAATTTGGTATTTGAATGCTTTGTTTGGTTTGTTGCTCGGCACTTGACCAAACAAACACGACCTGCCAGAACATGCAAGGCGAGACAGGTCACATGTGTGGGTATTCCTGCCTGAAACAATGTACAAGTCACTATGGGGGCCTAAGAAGATTAGTGATAACAGTCAACCCAAAAGCAGCGCCTGCGTGTCTGATCTTACTACCGAGTTTTGTATGACGAAATCTATCTCAGGAAGAAAGCACAAAGAGACAGAAAAGAGAAAGAACCCCAGAAGCATTTACCTAACTTCCTCCTCATGTTCCTCACCATCTTCCACATACGTCATCAAGTCTCCAGTTACAGGTGAAGTGAGAATAAATTTGCTTTTATTTCATCTATTAATTGGGCTTAGTTTTTTCTTTTTTAGATTTATGCATGCTAGGCTTGTAAACTTCACGTTAAAATGCTTTTGCGAGTGTATTTTTGGGGGTTTGAAATGGATTAATCTAATTTACATTATTCCTCATGGGAAAAATTCATTCAGTACTCGAACAGCCTTCTGGAATGAATTAAGTTCAAGGACCGAGGTACTACTGTGATTACGTATGAGTGATGGTGAAAGTGTTGAATGATGAAAGTATTTTTTTTCTTTTTGGGTTTTTTACTTTCTTTTTGGGTCATCCTGCCTCGGTGGGAAATGACCGATGTCTAAAAAAAATAAAAAAAAGTATATAATTTGTTTATTTATTTATTTATTCTCTATGGGGAAGTGGAATAGAATTCTTCCTCTGTAAGCCACGCGTGTTGTAAGTGGCAACTGAAATGCCGGGAACAAGGGACTAGTAACCCCTTCTCCTATATATACAGTGGACCCCCGCCTTACAAACGCATCGCATTACGTTAAATCCGCCATACGAAGCATTTGAACTCGCCTGGCACCTCAGCGCCAGTGTTTACAAGCCAGCTAGTGCGGTCACATCTATGCATACATTCGGTACATTTCACATTATCCCAGTGTTTTTAGTGCTTGTAACTGTAAAATAAGTCACCATGGACCCCAAGAAAGCTTCTAGTGCCATCCCTGTGGTAAAAAGGGCAAGAATTAGTATGGAATTGAAAAAAGAGATTAAGGAAATGTGTGCAAAATGGGTTGAACTGCAAACCTTTACGGATGAAAATCACCCTGACACAGCTACTGCAAGCCGTGTTGGCAACCTGTACAATGACAATGTTATGGCCCATTTTAGGAAAGTCTTAAAGGAATGGGAGATACAGAGCTTTATGGACAGATTTGTTGTGCGACAGGTCCAGCGACTCTCAAGCTGGTCCTAGTGGCATTAAAAGATGAAGGGAAGTAACCCTGGAAAAGGACTTGCTACCTCAAGCCATAATGGAAGGGGATTCCCCTTCTAAACAATAACTTCCACACTCTCCCCTCCTCCTATCCCATCAATCATCACCAGATCTTCAATAAAGGTAAGTGTCATGTATTCTTTTCTTAGTAGAGTAGTAATTGTGCATGTCTTCTTCAGTTGTGTGTATTAAAATTAATATTTCATGTGGTAAAAAATTTTTTTTTTTCATACTTTGAGGTGTCAGGAACGGATTAATTTGATTTCCATTATTTATGGGAAAATTAATTCGGCTAACGATAATTTCAGCTTACGATGAGCTCTCAGGAACGGATTAATATCATAAGGCGGGGGTCCACTGTATTACTAAATGTAAAAGTAGAAACTTTCATTTTTTCTTTTGGGCCACCCCGCCTTGGTGGGATACGGCTGGTGCGTTGAAAGAAAGATACACAGTGGAACCTCTGCTTACGAGTTTAATCTGTTCTGTGAGCTTGCTTGTATCCAGATTTGCTCTTATGTTGAGTCAATTTTCCTCATTTAAATTAACTGAAATGGTATTACTCTGTTCCAGTGGAATTCCAGGCACGACAAAATACTTCAATATTTCGCTAATATCAACTCTAAGGTTTATTTATCTATCACAATTCATCTGACATAATAAACAACATTAACCCCTTGACTGTCACAACCCCCAATCCTGAGGTGTCTCCTGGTTTTGCAAAATTAAAAAAAAAAAATTAAAAAAAAAAATCTTATGAAATGATAGAGAATCTTTTCCCGATTGTAATGTAATAACATGGAAACACAATATACACTAGAATGAATAAAATACTACGTTATTACGTATGTGGCTAGTGGTGGTGGCAGCATAGCAGCCATTGTTGTTGTTGGGATCTATAGGGCCAACACAGCGGCCATTCCTGCTCCTGACTACATACCTTCCCATGCTCTTTTTATAACAGAAAATGGAGTGTTTGTGAGGCAAACTGCATTAGACCACTACATAGTTTCATAAGGAAAGCAAAGTAAAGAAATTATTTGGTGTGTACTACAGCATTTACCTTGGAGAAATGTTGTCAGTAGATGGTGGAGAAGAAATGCTGGACACAGTGGCACATGCTGTCAGGACTTCATTTCATTTCGTCCTTTTTCTCTCACATCAACAGCAGCTTTTCCATCTTTTCATGGACAGAGGTTTGCTGCTTAGGAATTACTGTAATGCCCTTTGCTGGCACTATAGCCTTTATAGACTCCTTTGCTTTAGTACTGTACATAACATAGAAGTGCTATGCTGGTACATGCTGCCTGGCCAGGTCCTTAACCCTCACACCTAGTGTGTGTTAATCTATGATTTCCTGCTTTAAATCCATGGTAATCATAAGAACATAAGAAAGAAGGAACACTGTAACAGGCCTACTGACCCATGCAGAGCAGGTCCATGTCCCCCTCCCCCAGATTATCCCAATGACCCACCCAGTTTGGTCATCCCCACTCAAGGATGGAGCACTGTACCAGACCCAGCAACACAAGCTAGTCAGGTCCAACTCACACCCACCCACACTCACTCATGTATTTATCTAACCTATTTTTAAAACTACACAATGTTTTAGCCTCGATAACTGTACTCGGGAGCTTGTTCCACTCATCCACAACTCTATTACCAAACCAGTACTTTCCTATATCCTTCCTGAATCTGAATTTTTCCAACTTGAAACCATTGCTGCGAGTCCTGTCTTGGCTGGAAATTTTCAGCACACTATTTACATCACCTTTATTTATTCCAGTTTTCCATTTATACACCTCAATCATATCCCCCCTAATTCTACGCCTTTCGAGAGAGTGCAGATTCAGGGCCTTCAGTCTATCCTCATAGGGAAGATTTCTGATACATGGGATCATCTTTGTCATCCTCCTTTATAAGTTTTCCAGAGCATTTATATCCATTCTGTAATACGGTGACCAGAACTGAGCAGCTTAGTCTAAATGAGGTCTAACCAAGGATATATAGAGTTGAAGAACAACCTGAGGACTTCTATTATTTATACTTCTAGATATGAAGCCAAGAATTCTGTTAGCTTTATTGCGAACACTAATGCACTGTTGTCTTGGTTTTAGGTTACTGCTAACCAGAACTCCTAAATCCTTTTCAGTAGTATTAAGATCTACATTTAGTTTATATGTGGCATGGTTATTTAACTGTCCAACATTTAGAACTTTGCATTTGTCAATATTAAACTGCATCTGCCACTTCTCCGACCATTGCGTCAGTCTATTCAAATCATCCTGGAGTGCTCTAATGTCCTCATTAGAATGAATTGGACGGCCTATTTTGGTGTCATCAGCAAATTTGCTTATGTTGCTATTTATTCCCTCATCTATGTCGTTTATGTAAATTGTGAACAACAACGGGCCCAACACTGACCCCCGAGGAACACCGCTTGTGACGTGCCCCATTCTGATTTCTCTCCATTTATGCAAACTCTCTGCTGTCTATTTGTCAGCCATGCCTCTACCCAAGAAAAAATTTCTCCTCCTATTCCATGTGCCCTAAGTTTCCTCAATAGCCTCTGGTGTGGAACTCTATCAAAAGCCTTACTGAAGTCCATATACACAATATCATATTCATTACCATGATCTACCTCCTCAAACACCTTAGTGAAAAAAGTTAGTAAATTCGTAAGACAGGAACGCCCCTTTGTAAAACTGTTGAGAATCATTAATCAATCTGTGCCTGTCAAGATGGCTACGAATTGCTTCGGCAATTATTGATTCCATAAATTTTCCCACTATGGAGGTAAGGCTTATTGGTCTATAATTCGAAGCCAAGGACCTGTCACCTGCCTTGTAAATAGATATTACATTTGCCATTTTCCACTTATTAGGCACTATGCCAGTTTGTAGTGATATGTTAAAAAGATTAGACAAAGGTATGCTAAGTTCCTCTTCACATTCCTTTAACATCCTTTCAAACAGTTCATCAGGACCTGGGGATTTGTTAGGTTTTAGTTTCTCTATTAGTCTGAGGACCCTGTCACTAGTTACCGCAATCGTACATAGTTTATCATCCTGTTCTACGTAATCTATTATTTCAGGAATATTGCTAGTATTTTCCTCTAGCAAATAACTGCACGAAATGTAAGGAAAACACAAGAATTCCTTCCACCATGAGGGAGGCTCCATAAGCACACATGGACTGGCCAGCTTTGTTTTGGTACACACTGCCATCTCGTGGTGGCGTTCTCAAACTTATTGTATGTAGTATGTACATATTATATATTTCTTTTTTCAACAAGCCAGTCACCCTCCCACCAAGGAAGGGTGACCCAAAAAAGAAAGAAAATCCCCAAAAAGAAAATACTTTCATCTTCAATCAACACTTTCACCTCACTCACACATAATCACTGTTTTTGCAGAGGTGCTCAGAATACAACAGTTTAGAAGCATATACGTATAAAGATACACAACATATCCCTCCAAACTGCCAATATCCCAAAACCCCTCCTTTAAAGTGCAGGCATTGTACTTCCCATTTCCAGGACTCAAGTCCGACTATGAAAATAACCGGTTTCCCTGAATCCCTTCACTAAATATTACCCTGCTCACACTCCAACAGATCGTCAGGTCCCAAGTATCATTCGTCTCCATTCACTCCTATCTAACACGCTCATGCACGCTTGCTGGAAATTCAAGCCCCTCGCCCACAAAACCTCCTTTACCCCCTCTTTCCAACCCTTTCGAGGACGACCCCTACCCCTCCTTCCTTCCCCTATAGATTTATATGCTTTCCATGTCATTCTACTTTGATCCATTCTCTCTAAATGACCAAACCACCTCAACAACCCCTCTTCTGCCCTCTGACTAATGCTTTTATTAACTCCACACCTTCTCCTAATTTCCACACTCCGAATTTTCTGCATAATATTTACACCACACATTGCCCTTAGACAGGACATCTCCACTGCCTCCAACCGTCTCCTTGCTGCTGCATTTACCACCCAAGCTTCACATCCATATAAGAGTGTTGGTACTACTATACTTTCATACATTCCCTTCTTTGTAGTAGGTTGGTAGACAGCAACCACCCAGGGAGGTACTACCGTCCTGCCAAGTGAGTGTGGAAACAAAAGCCTGTAATTGTTTTACATGATGGTGGGATTGCTGGTGTCTTTTGTCTGTCTCATAAATATGCAAGATTATAGGCATGTCTTGCTACTTCTACTTACACTTAGGTCACACTACACATACATGCACACGTTTATTCATACACACTCATCTGAGTTTTCTTTGATTTTATCTTAATAGTTCTTGGTCTTATTACTTTTCCTTTTATATCCATGGGGAAGTGGAATAAGAATCTTTCCTCCGTAAGCCATGTGTGTTGTAAAAGTCAACTAAAATGCCGGGAACAATGGGCTAGTAACCCCTTTTCCTGTAAAGATTACTAAAAAGAATAAGAAGAAGAAAAATTATCTGACTAATACTTTTATTAATTCCACACCTTCTTATTTACACCACACATTGCCCTTAGACAGGACATCTCCACTGCCTCCAACCGCCTCCTTGCTGCAGCATTTACAACCCAAGCTTCACACCCATAAAAGTGTTGGTACTACTATACTTTCATACATTCCCTTCTTTGCCTCCATAGGTAACATTTTTTGTCTCCACATATACCTCAATGCACCACTCACCTTTTTTCCTTCATAAATTCTACGATTAACCTCATCCTTCATAAATCCATCCGCTGACACATCAACTCCCAAATATCTGAAAACATTCACTTCTTCCATACTACTACTCCCCAATTTGATATCCAAGTTTTCTTTATTTAAATCATTTGATACCCTCATCACCTTACTCTTTTCTATGTTCACTTTCAACTTTCTACCTTTATACATATTATTATTATCATTAGTGCGTACCTATTATAATTTATATTATTATATTACGTATATTATATTATACATATTATTATTATTGTTATTAGTACGTACGTATTAATTTTTTTTTTTTCAACAAGTCGGCCGTCTCCCACCGAGGCAGGGTGACCCAAAAAAGAAAGAAAATCCCCAAAAAGAAAATACTTTCATCATCATTCAACATTTTCACCACACTCACACATTATCACTGTTTTTGCAGAGGTGCTCAGAATACAACAGTATAGAAGCATATACGTATAAAGATACACAACATATCCCTCCAAACTGCCAGTATAATTGTTATTATTATTAATTTAGGAAACTGGAGCACAGATCCAATTCCCTAGATCAAGAGCAAGAGCCCCTCAGCAGCGTCAAGGAACCTCCCTTGAGGCTCGCTTGCATCCTGAAATTTCGCTCGTATTCAGAAACAAAAAATCGACCAAGCGACTTTTCACATCCCGAAAAACTCGCATGGTGGGGCACTCGTAAGCCGAGGTTTACTGTATATATATTCTTTCAACACACCGGGTGTATCCCACAGAGGTAAGGTGGCCCAAAAGAAAGAAAAACCCATATAAAAAGAAAAAACTTTTATTATCAGTCAACACTTTCACCATCACTCATACACAATCACCATCTTGGCAGAGGCACCCAGATACGACAGTTTAGCTACTCCAAACTGCGAATATCCCAAACCCCTCCTTTAAAGTGCTGGCATTGTACTTCCCACCTCCAGGACTCAAGCCCAGCTAACAGTTTTCCCTGAATCCCTTCACAAAATATTGCCCTGCTCACATGCCAACAGCTCGTCATATATTTTTAAAAAATTATATGAAAAATCCATGTTCAGTAAAAATTATACCATATACGAATTTGTAGTCAACATTTCAGAGTATTTAAAAATGTAATAAAAAAAATGTCTCCTAAATCAATGAATTTGTAGTACAATCAATTTACAAGTTCTATTCATCTTACCTGAAAGCATGGAATCTTTCTCTCAAAATGCTTCTCAATGAAATTCTTTAGCAACTTGTTTGCGTCATACACATTATCTGAATAACTTGGTTCATCATCCCGGAGCCTTTGCTGTACTATTCTTTACCACTGTCATCTCGAAACTCCTCATGTTTTTCATTAATCGCTGTTATGGAATGATAAATTAGCATCACTCATGATACATAGTGTTATTCAACAACATTCCATATTGAATATAACATAAAATAAAAAAATATAGTTTATATTCAATATTAATCCTAATATAAAATTAAATATATTTTTACAAGTTAAATATATATAAATGATAATATTTTATACATACATAATAATAATTTATATATAATATATATATATATACTATATATATATATACATATATATATATATACATATATATACGAGTGGCAAACTTCACTTTTCATATTTATAAGCGCAAACCATAGCACTCAAATTTTTCCACGATCTGCTATGTAAGGCTTTCAAATTACTTTTGGCTTAAGTGTGACTTAGTCTCTCCTAGCATATTTTTTTACTTATCTTTTATACAGCTATTAAAATGAGCAAATAGAGGACTAATCATGATTTTTAAAACTGCCATGTCATAAAAAAAAAAAAAAAAAAAACTTAGATAACATACTTGATAAGCTCCAGACAGAGTTCTGTGACAATCCTGGCTTGACGTACAATGTTGCTGCCTTTCTGGTTAAATTTCTCTGTATTGGTGGCAATATATCGAACATCAAACTGGACAGCATTGATGCGTCGATAAAACCGATTATCTAGTCTACTCTGAAAGGCATCAAACAAAAATATGAAACCATCAATTGATAACTTGAGCTTGATCTAACTACAATTTCTCAACACACTGGACATCTCCCACCAAGGTTGGGCGACCCGAAAAAGAAGAAACACTTTCACTGTCATTCATTCAATCAATGTCTTCCTAACAGAGTGCTTATATCACAGCTCAAATGACCCTCTGAACTGCAACATCCCCAAAGTGCAGGCACTGTGCTTCCCACCTCCAGGACTCAAACTCAGCTAATTAATATTCCTGAATCCTTACATAAATGTTCTGCTCACACTCCACCAGCATGTCAAACCATAAAAACCACTTGCCTCCACTCACTCCTGCCTAACATGTTCACACAAACCTGTTGGATGTCAAAGCCTCTAGCACTCAAAATCTCCCTTACCCCCCTCCCTCCAACTGGCCCAACTCCTACCCTTTGTGCCCTTCAGCTCTAATATATATCATTTAGGTATGCATACTGGTCAGAAAGCCTGTCATAAGTCTGAGTCATCGCTAAGTGAGGAGAGGCTGTATTATCATGCAGCTCTCTCTCTCTTCTGCTCCTATGAATACATATTTAGGACTTTCAGGTGTTCCCAGTAATTTAAATGCTTTACTAGCTCTTTGCAGGCCATAAATGTCTATATATATGTTCTGGCTACAATCTCTCTCCTGCCCTGAATGCGGTTGTTAAGAACAGTCAGCTGATATAATTACTACCAGGTCTTGCACATGTTCCTTTCATTCTATTTAATGATCTTCCTGGGTTCTGTATAGTGTCCTTATTGAGTTCTTTATTCTTTCCACATCTACGCAGTTGGAATTAATCACCACTGAACATCATGGCGTTCTTACTGAGTTCTTTATTCTTTCCACATCTACGCAGTTGGAATTAATCACCACTGAACATCATGGCGTTCTCCACTGCCCACTGGCAAACCCTCCTTATATCTTCATGCAATTTTTTTGCATCTTCTAAGGTGACTCATGCTAATTTTAATGTTATCTGCAAATGATGATACACAACCATGATGGGTGCTTTTATCTGTCAGCTATGAGGACAAAAAACAGTAGAGGCACCAGGACAGTGCCTTTGGGTACTTAGCTTTTTAGTGCTGGATTTTGCTGTTTACTTCTATTGTGCGTGTTCTGTCAGCAACTTTAAAATCTATCTGCCTACCTTCTCCATTAAGCCTATGGCCCTCATTTTGTGTGCAATCACCCCATAATTGCATCTGACAAATGTCATTGCAAAATCTGTAAATATCATATCCGTGTTTTGGTCTTCTTTTAATGCCTCTGTAACTATCACAGTGGTTTAGCAGTTGTGACAAGCATGATCTGGATCTAAAAACCATGCTGGTTTAAGTTGTGCAGATTGTGCTGTTCCATAAAGTTTGTAATCTGGCATCTCATCACTCTTTCAATGACTTATGATGTGGGATGGTAGCCTACTGGTCTTTAATTTTTTGGCTAGCACTCTCTCTCTTAGGGTCTCTGGAATTTCACCTGGATCCAAGCTTTCTCTAAAGGATATAGAGTGCTCACATTAGTGGTGTTTTGCACTTTTTTATAAGGAATATTGTGAACCTGGTCCAAGAGATGAGTAAACGGGCATGTTTTCTATTTCTTTTTCAAATTCTATTGGACTAGTACTAATGAAGAGAATCCATAGTTTGGAGGACTGAGGAGGGGTTATTGAGACGGTTTGGACAAGTAGAAAAGATGGAAAATAGAATGACAGTGTATAACTCTAGTGGAGGAAAGGTGTGGCAGAGGTCAGCCTAGGAAAGGTTGGAGGGAGGGGGTAAAGGGAGTTTTGTGTGTGAGGGGCTTGGACTCCCAGCAAGCATGCACGAGTGTGTTAGATACAAGCAAATGGAGACAAATGGTTTTTAGGACTTGACATGTTGTTGGAGTGTAAGCAAGGTAACATTTATGAAAGGATTCAGGGAAACGGGCAGGCCGGACTTGATTCCTGGAGATGTGAAGTACAGTGCTGGCACTCTGAAGGAGGGGTGTTAATGTTGCAGTTTTATAACTGTAGTGTAAGCATGCTTCTGGTATAATACAGTGATGGAGTGAATGATGGAAGTTTCTCTTTTTCAGGCCACCCTGCCTTGGTGGGAAACTAATGTCAGTTATTTGGTTTGCATGGCCTTCAGATGGAATGAAAAAAGTTTTTGCATTCTCCATCCAGCTTTCATTTAGTGTTTTTTTTTTGATCATCAACTCGTATTGGCATCTTAGAATTTCACTTATTTTCTGTTCGACTGTATATGAACCTCCTGTTATTAATGGACCAATTCTACATGAAGTTCTTAGCTTGGATTTTGCATATGTATAGAAATATTTGGCATTTCTTGCAATATCCTAGATGGCTCCTGTTTGGTACAGCAGCTTAAGTGTTTGTTTTATCTCGGTTATCTCATGGCTAAGATGATCTTTTCTTTGTCGTGAATTTGGTAACCCTTTCTTCTACCATATATTCTTCTATGTGCTCTTTATCTGATCTTCTAGGTTTTTCTCAATGGTATATATTTAATGCAGACCTCGTATGCTTCTGCATTCAGCATGTGAGATAGCAGATACATCTTGCTGCTTCTACTTGCACTTTAGTCACATTACATATGAATGTACACGCATATATATTTACACAACCATCTGGATTTTCCCTATTTTCTTAATAGTTCTCGTTCTTTATTTCCTCCTATCTCCATGGGAAAGTGGAACAGAATTCTTCCTCTGTAAGCCATGCACGTTGTAAAAGATGACTCAAATGCCGGTAGCAAGGGGCTAGTAACCCCTTCTCTTGTATAAATTACTAAATTTATGAAGAAAAACTTTCATTTCTCAATCTCTCAGGATATGACTGATAGTTGTTTGTTAATTGTATCCCAATCAATTCTATGGTCCTGACATTAAATTTGTTGAACATCTCTTCTTGTACATAACTGCTAGAGTTCCCTAACCCTGACTTTATACTTCCATGAGTTTATACTTCTCTAATGTGTTCAGAGTATATATTGTTTATGCGATTGTTCTCTCTCTGATCAGTTCCTTATTGTTTCTGAAGATCAAATCCAGTGTGTGTTCATTTCTAGTGGAATCTGTTACCTGTTGGTTCATTGCAAACTTTTCACAAAGCCTCATTAGTTACTTGGTATTTACCAGTTGAGCCAGAGGGCTTCCAGGAACTATTTCTGGTAGTGTTGTGATGAACCACCTTCCATTTTACATTTGGGATGTGGAAATCTCCAGGGAGGATAATATTTGGTGTGGAGTTTCCAAGCCTTTCAAGACAACTACCTATCTTCCTTATCTGATCCGTGAATTCCTCAGCCACTGCTGATGTTTTCACTGCATTTATGGATTTAGAAAAGGCATATGACAGAGTGGACAGGGGAGCAATGTGGCAGATGCTGCAAGTGTATGGAACAGGTAGTAAGCTACTAAATACTGTAAAGAGTTTTTATAGGATAGTGAGGCTCTGGTTAGGGTGTGTAGGAGAGAGGATGATTACTTCTCAATAAAAGTAGGTCTTAGACAGAGATATGTAATGTCACCATGGTTGTTTAATATATTTATAGATGGGGGTTGTAAAAGAAGTAAATGTTAGGGTGTTGGGGAGAAGATGGGATTAAATTATGGGGAATCAAATACAGTTGACACAGCTACTTTTTGCTGATGATACTGTGCTTTTGGGAGACTCTTAAGAAAAGTTGCAAAGGTTAGTGGATGAGCTTTAGAGGGTGTGCAAAGGTAGAAAGTTTACAGTGAAATTTAGTAATTTATACAGGAGAAGGGGTTACTAGCCCCTTGCTCCCGGCATTTTAGTCGCCTCTTACGACATGCATGGCTTACGGAGGAAGAATTCTGTTCCACTTCCCCATAGAAATAAGAGGAAATAAATAAGAACCAGAAAGAAAATAGAAGAAAACCCAGAGGGGTATATTCTTTCTTTCAACACACCGGCCGTATCCCACCGAGGCGGGGTGGCCCAAAAGAAAAAACGAAAGTTTTTCCTTTTACATTTAGTAATATATACAGGAGAAGGGGTTACTAGCCCCTTGCTCCCGGCATTTTAGTCGCCTCTTACAACACGCATGGCTTACGGAGGACGCATTCTGTTCCACTTCCCCATGGAGATAAGAGGAAATAAACAAGAACAAGAACTAGAAAGAAAATAGAAGAAAACCCAGAGGGGTATGTATATATATGCTTGTACATGTATGTGTAGTGTGACCTAAGTACAGTGGACCCCCGCTTAACGATCACCTCCCAATGCGACCAATTATGTAAGTGTATTTATGTAAGTGCGTTTGTACGTGTATGTTTGGGGGTCTGAAATGGACTAATCTACTTCACAATATTCCTTATGGGAACAAATTCGGTCAGTACTGGCACCTGAACATACTTCTGGAATGAAAAAATATCGTTAACCGGGGGTCCACTGTATAAGTAGAAGTAGCAAGATGTACCTGAAATCTTGCATGTTTATGAGACAGAAAATGGGACACCAGCAATCCTACCATTATGTAAAACAATTACAGGTTTCCGTTTCACACTTGCTTGGCAGGACGGTAGTACCTCCCTGGGCGGTTGCTGTCTACCAACCTACTACCTATGGAAGAAGTGGATGCTTTCAGATATTTGGGAGTTGACTTGCCAGCAGATGGGGTTATGAAAGTTGAGGTTAACCATAGAATTGATGGAGGAAAAAAGGCGAGTGGTGTGCTCAGGTGTCTGCATAGACTAAAAATGTTATCCATGGAGGCAAAGGGAATGCATGAAAGTATAGTGGTACCAACACTCTTATATGGGTGTGAAGCGTGGGTTGTAAATGATGCGGCGAGGAGGCGACTGGAGGCAGTGGAGATGTCCTAAGAGCAATGCGTGGTGTAAATATTATGCAGAGAATTAGGAGTATGGAAATTAGGAGGTGGTGTGGAGTTACTAAAAGTATTAGCTCTGAAGAGGGGTTGTTGAAGTGGTT